CACTCTGGACACCCACTCTGGACACCCACTCTGGACACCCACTCTGGGTTATTTGGATAGGCAGAGGAGAGATGACAGGAAAAATACAGCTAAAAGAGGCTGGGCCAACAGGTGTCAGGTGAGTTCAAGAATATGGAGGGGAAGATAACCACAAAACGAGCAAAGGCTGGAGAGAAAAATACTTACCCTCTTCTTCTGAGTTTGCAATTTCATTTAGCACCCCAAAAAGGCCCACATCACGCCTGATAAGGGAGGAAAATGTGGGTCAGATTTCTCTGATCCCGTGTCCCCCTCTACCAGTTTCATTCATTCATTCAATATACATGTATTAAAAATACAGACACTCACATTTAATGAGTGCCAACTATGTACCAGGCACTCTACATGTTGTCCTTTCATTTACGTACCTCACAAATCTGAAAGAGATTCTAAACATTTACGGATGAGGCAACCAAGCCTCAGAGGACTTTTGGGGCTTTGTGAGCAGGTTAAGGAGTTGGGACTTGTTCTAAGACAGTGAATGGAAAGCCATGGAAGGGTTCTAAGGAGAGGAATAAACAGATCACACAGCAGCATTTTAGAAAGAGCAGTCTAGTTGCAGATTAGAGAGTGATAAGAATAGAAAAGACCAGGATGGGCGCAGTGGCTCATACCTGTAATCCCAGCACTTTAGGAGGCCGAGGTGGGCGGATCACAAGGTCAGGAGATCGAGACTATCCTGGGCAACATGGTGAAACCCCATCTGTACTAAAAATATAAAAATTTGCCAAGCGTGGTGATGCATGCCTATAATCCCAGCTACTCGGGAGGCTGAGGCAGGAGAATCGTCTGAACCCGGGAGGCGGAGGTTGCAGTGAGCCGACATCATGCCACTGCACTCCAGCCTGGGCGACAGAGTGAGACTTCGTCTCACAGAAAAAAAAAAAGAGAAAAAATAGAAAAAGTCCAGGTGCAGTGGCTCACACCCGTAATCCTAGTACTTTCAGAGGCCAAGGCAGGTGGATCACCTGAGCTGAAGAGCTTGAGACCAGTCTAGGCAATATAGAGAAATGCTGTCTCTACAAAAAAATACCAAACGTAGCCAAGTATGGTGGCGCACACCTGTAGTCCCAGCTACTGAGGAGGCTGAGGAGGCTGAGGAGGGTGCATCACTTGAGCCCTGGGGGCTGATGATGCAGTGAGCCGTGTTCCATGTTTGCACCACTGCACTCCACGCTGGACAACAGAGCAAGATGCCATCTCAAAAAAAAAGAGTAAGAGAAAAATAAATCAGTTAAGAATCTACTTTAGGGCCAGGTGCAGTGGCTCACGCCTGTAATCCCAGCATGCTGGGAGTCCAAGGCAGGCAGATCACGAGGTCAGGAGTTCGAGATCAACCTGGTCAAGATGGTGAAACTCCATCTCTATTAAAAATACAAAAATTGGCCTGGCACGGTGGCTCAAGCCTGTAATCCCAGCACTTTGGGAGGCCGAGATGGGCGGATCACAAGGTCAGGAGATCGAAACCATCCTGGCTAACACAGTGAAACCCCACCTCTACTAAAAATAGAAAAAATTAGCCAGGCATGGTGGTGGGTGCCTGTAGTCCCAGCGACTTGGGAGGCTGAAGCAGGAGAATGGCGTGAACCCAGGAGGCGGAGCCTGCAGTGAGCCGAGATCGCGCCACTGCACTCCAGTGAGGGCAACAGAGTAAGACTCCATTTCAAAAAAAAAAAAAAAATTAGCCAGGCGTTGTGGTGTGCACCTGTAGTCCCAGCTACTCCAGAGGCTGAGGCAGAAGAATTGCTTGAACCTGGGAGGCAGAGGTTGCAGTGAGCCAAGATTGCGCCATTGCACTCCAGCCTGGGTGACACAGTGAGACTGTCTCAAAACAACAAAAAAGAATCTACTTCAGGAATCCAGGGAAAAGGTGAAAGTGGCCTGAACTGGTGGGATGAAGAAAAAGAGACAGATTTGAGAGACTTAGGAAGTAGCATGAACAAGATGTGAAGACTAATCAGACATTAGTAAAGGAAAGAGCAATCAATACAAGAAAAACACCTAGGTAATAATTACATCAGCTAATATGCTTACAATGTGCCAGCTCTGGACTAGGTGCCTCACATGAACTAATCAAGCCATTATGACAATTCTACAAGATAGGTATTGTTATCACTGCATTTATTTTTATTTTATTGAGACAGGGTCTTGCTCTGTCACCCAAGCTGGAGTGCAGTATTACCATCATGGCTCGCTGCAGCCTCAACCTCCTGCACTCAGATATTCCTACCTCAGCCTCTGGAGGAGCTGAGACTACAGGCACACACCATCATGCCCAGCTAATTTTTAAATTTTCTGTAGAGACAGGGTTTCACTCTGTGTGTGTGTGTGTGTGTGTAAGACGGAGTCTCACTTTGTCACCCAGGCTGGAGTGCAGTGGTGTGCACTCGGCTCACTGCAACCTCTAACTCCTGGGTGCAAGCAATTCTTGTGCCTCAGCCTCCTGAGTAATCAGGATTACAGACGGAGTTTCACCACATTGGCCAGGCTGGTCTCGAACTCCTGACCTCAAGTGATACACCTACCTCGGCCTCCCAAAGTGCTGGGATTACAGGCGTGAGCCTCCGCGCCCAGCCTATCACTGCATTTTTAGATGAGAGAACAGCCGGGCGCGGTGGCTGAAGCCTGTAATCCCAGCACTTTGGGAGGCCGAGACCGGTGGATCACGAGGTCAGGAAATCGAGACTATCCTGGCTAACACAGTGAAACCCCGTCTCTACTAAAAAATACAAAAAAAAAAAACTAGCCGGGCGAGGTGGCGGGCGCCTGTAGTCCCAGCTACTCGGGAGGCTGAGGCAGGAGAATGGCGTAAACCCGGGAGGCGGAGCTTGCAGTGAGCTGAGATCCGGCCACTGCACTCCAGCCTGGGTGACAGAGCGAGACTCCGTCTCAAAAAAAAAAAAAAAAAAAAAAAAGATGAGAGAACAAAGGTGTGAAGAGGTTAATTAATATGAACAAGGTAATCTAAGTAGAAAGTAGTAGTCAGGATTCAACCATCTATCTACCCCAGAACCTACACTCAAACCACTTTTTCCTGAATGAGTCATATGATCATTCCTTAAAGTGAACCATCCAGGGAAGCAAATTTGGAGAGAGAAATAAAGAGACTGGATTTGAGCATGCTGAATATATGAAGTCTGAAATATTCAAGCAGAATAATTTGACAAAAAAGTGAACACCAGGTCTGATGCATCGACTGGAAATCTAGCCCCAAGAACACCAACATTCAAGGGACATCAGGAAGAGGAGCCACCAAAAAGCCTGAGCAGCAGCAGCCGCAGAAGTAGAAGACAAGGAGGAGCCTGGGAATGAATGGCTTTTCAACAAACTGATGTTCAACTTCACACACACATGCCCATTAAACTGTACTAAAGTACCAAAGATCAAAGCTTAACAGCACGTGTTGGAAAACAGGCACTCTCATACACTGCTGGTGGGACCATATACATGTAGGATTTTGACAGAGGACTATTTGGAACAGCTCACAAATTACAGATGAACATACCCTCTGAACCAGCAAATTAACTTCTAGGAATTCATCCTACAAATAGTAATGGTATTAATAAAATATTAACTTTTTTTTTTTATTTTTTTGAGACAAGGTCTCACTCAGTGCCACTGCACTGGCACAATCTTGGCTCACTGCAACCTCCACCTCCCAGGCTCAAGCAATCCTCCTATACATAAGCCTCCTGAGTAGCTGGGACTAAAGGTGCATGCAACCATACCCGGCTAATTTTCGTACTTTTCTTGTAGACGAAAGAACATGGTTTCACCATGTTCCCCAGGCTTGTCTCGAACCACTGAGCTCAAGCAATCTGCCAGCCTCAGCCTACCAAAGTGCTAGGATTATAGGCATGAGTCACTGTGCCTGGCATCAAAAACCCTTAAAGGCATTAATATGTGCCATTAATAGGTCCAGGTGCAGTGCTCACAGCTGTAATCTCAGCACTTTGGGAGGCCAAGGCAGGCAGATTACCTGAGGTCAGGAGGCCAGACTAGCCTGGCCAACATGGTGAAATCCCATCTCTACAAAAATACAAAAATTAGCTGGGCGTGGTGGCACGTGCCTATAGTCCCAGCCACTCGGGAGGCTGAGGCAGGGGAACTGCTTGAACCTGAACCTGAGAGGCGGAGGTTGCAGTGAGCTGAGATCGCACTACCGCACTCCAGCCTGGCAACACAGCAAGACTCTGTCTCAAAAAAAAAAGAAAAAAGAAAAAAAAAGAAAATGAGCCAGCGCAGTGGCTCACGCCTGTAATCCCAGCACTTTGGGAGGCCAAGGCAGGCAGATAATCTGAGGTCGGGAGTTCAAGACCAGCGTGACCAACATGGAGAAACCCCGTCTCTACTAAAAATACAAAATTAGCTGGGCGTGGTGGCACATGCCTGTAATCCTAGCTACTCGGGAGACTGAGGCAGGAGAATTGCTTGAACCTGGAAGGCGGAGGTTGCAGTGAGCTGAGATCGTGCCACTGCACTCCAGCCAACAAGAGTGAAACTCCGTCTCAAAAAAAAAAAAAAAAGAAAAAAGAAAAGAAAATGAAACCAGGTAGTGTGGCTCCACTCCTACAGATGTAAAGTGGATGACCTATGTAGGAGATTATTCAATGCAACCTTATATCTAATCTTGCTGAGCTTTAGGTAAAAGCTCAGAAGTGTTAATGACATGAGGTGGGGGCAGGGAGCAGGTTCACCTAATCAAGCCAGAAAGCAAGGCAAGTTACTAGAGATTAAATAGAAGTACTTTTTTTTTTTTTTTTTTTTTTTTTTTTTTTTTTTTGAGACGGAGTCTCGCTCTGTCGCCCAGGCGGAGTGCAGTGGCGCAATCTCGGCTCACTGGGTGGGAGCCCTGCCTCCCGGGTTCACGCCATTCTCCTGCCTCAGCCTCCCTAGTAGCTGACTACAGGCCCGCCACTGCGCCCGGTTAATTTTTTTCTATTTTTTAGTAGAGACGTGTTTCACTTCATGGTTCCATCTCTGACCTTGTGATCCGCCTGCCTCGGCCTCCCAAAGTGCTGGGATTACAGGCGTGAGCCACCGCGCCCGGCCAGAAGTACTTTTTCCATAGTGTTCCTGGGAAGGGCAAGGGAGGGAAACTGATATTTACTGAGCATTTGATTTCTACAATAAGGACTAAAAATTTCATATGATTTAAGATATACAGCTCTCATGGAGACAGCCTGAATAAGTCTTTTGAAGAACACCCCAAGGTAAAGAGTGGTCACTCATTTTCCAGGATCTGCAGACTATGACCCAGAAAACGCTTTGCCATGCCTCACCAAATGTTGATGCATCTCTTCCACACTTGCTCCCGGTGATGGATGAAGGCAGTTCTTGTGCCATGGTCCAGCCTTCCAGGGGTCTTTAGGGGATCCTTGGTCAGGTGTAGGACAGGAAGATTGATCCACTATAGCACAAAAGCGAGGGGTGTGATGGTGAGTCAAGATTCCAGAGGTCTGTTTTCCGTTTCCACAAAGCTAACACTTGTTAGTATGGGAAACAAGTCTTAGCTCCCGTATCTGTGCAACTAGAATAATATTTCATAGGGTTGTGATTACGAAACCACGTAACATTTTAAGAAAACACCTGACTCATCCTCTTTCTTACATAGCAAACGCTCAGTAAATGTCAGTTTCCCTTCCTTGTCCTTCCCAGGTACACCACGGAAAAAATGTTCCAAGTTGTACCTTTCTGATCCTCCTCAGATACTGTCCCCAACTTTTAGATAGTTCTCCCGCATCCTCACACTCCCTAGATTCTCCCTCATCCTCTCCATTCCCTCTAGGACTTCTCCACAGCTCCTTAACCCCCCCCTTATACTCCAATCCTTGCCCTAAAACAGATTCTAGCCCTTCTATTCTGCTGCCGGGGCCAAGCTGTTTCCAGTCCACCAGACTCTGCGACCCTGCCCCTGTCACACTGCCTCCCTTCCCCAATTCTCCCCAACTCTGCCCCCCTGCCTGCAGGTCCCCTCCCTCCTCGCCCTGGCCACCTGGCCCCGGAAGTCGGGGGGCGGGCTCTCATAGCTACTGCCCGTCACCAGCTCGTTATTGTGCTCATATAGGGTGACTTGACCCCGAGGCGGTGGAGGAGGGAACAACCCCAGGGAGCACATCTTGCCGGTTCGCAGGACGTCTGGAGTCGGCAAACTCCTAGCCGGAACGGCACAGACCGCCCTCCCCTAACTCGGTTCCCGGGCTAGATTTGTAGGCAGACGGGTAGCCGCAAGGGACAAACGGCGAGGCGGAGCTCGACGGAAGTGAAGAAAAGACTTAACAGGAAAGAAGTACGAGTAAGCGGTCCCGGGACAGACTGCCAAAGCTTCCTCCTGCGCCCCCTGGCGGCCGGAGGGGGAGCAGCGCGGACACGTCCTCGGGCCAATCGTTGGTTACCAGGCTGGAGCGGGGTTTTTTTTGTTGTTTTCCATGCGACTACTGTTTTTCCCAGCTCCGAATTCCCCAACGCCTTTTCCCACTCACTCTCTTAACGCTTAGAAAGCCCAAAATAACCTACATTCAGGGAAGTACCAAATTAACCCTCCCAGGCCTGTGGATCACCCAGAGGAAAATACAGGCTATGTCACAGGCAGCTGGCTGGAAAGCTAAGGGAAAAACCTCAGAGAGGAGGAACAGTGCTGCACCCACAAGGTTAGGCGGACTCCTGGAAAGGCAGGTGGGGACAGGTGGAAAAGTAACATTTCCTGCCAGGCGCAGTGGCTCACGCCTGTAATCCCAGCACTGTGGGAGGCCTAGGTGGGTGGATCACCTGAAGGTCAGGAGTTCGTAGACCAGCCTGGCCACGTTGAAAACCCCATCTATACTAAAAATACAAAAATTAGTCGGGCGTGGTGGCGGGCATCTGTAATCCCAGCTAATCGGGAGGCTGAGGCATGAGAATCTCTTGAACCCGGCAGGCAGGGGTTGCAGTGTGCCGAGATGGCTGTGCTGCACTCCAGCCTGGGCAACAAAAGCAAAACTTTGTCTCACAAAAAAAGAAAGGAAAACTTTATTTTATTTTATTTTATTGAGACAGGGTCTCACTCTATTGCCCAGGCTGAAGGCAGTGGCGCTATCTCGGCTTAAGGCAACCTCTGCCTCCTGGGTTCAAGCGGTTCTCCTCCCTCAACCTCTGGAGTAGCTGGGATTACAGGCATGCGCCACCACGCCCAGCTAATTTTGTATTTTTAGTACAGACGGGGTTTTACCATGTTGGCCAGGCTGGTCTCAAACTCCTGACCTCAAGTGATCCGCCCGCTTTGGCCTCCCAAAGTGCTGGGATTACAGGCCTGAGCCACCTTGCCAGGCTGCAAAACTATTTCCTGAGCACTTGTTATGATAAGTGCTCTTATAATCTTTATAACCCCATAAGGTGGGTGCTGTTCTGTCACCACGAGGAAAGTGAGTCACAGAGAGATTGGACCTAGATACACCCAAACCAGTTATTCTGATTTAAGAATAAAAGTGAGGCTGGGCATGGTAGCTCACACCTGTAATCCCAGCACTTTGGGAGGCTGAGGCTGATCTCTTGAGCCCAGGAATTCAAGACCAGCTTGGGCAACATAGCAAGACCCTGTATCTACAAAAAATTCAAAAGTTAGCCAGTGTGGTGGTGTCAAGCGTCTGTAGTCCAGCTACTCAGAAGGCTGAGATGGGAGAATCGAGACTACAATGATCCAAGATTGTGCCACTGCACTCCAGCCTGGGGCAAAAAGCGAGACCCTGTCAAGCAAGCAAGAGAGAAAGAAAGGGAGAGAAAAAAAGCTAGGCGCAGTGGCTCATGCCTGTAATCCCAGCCTTTGGGAGGCTAAGGTGGGCTAATCACCTGAGGTCGGGAGTTCGAGACCAGCTTGACCAACATGGAGAAACCCTGTCTCTACTAAAAATACAAAACTAGCCGGGGCATTGTGGTGCATGCCTGTAATCCCAGCTACTTGGGAGGCTGAAGCAGGAGAATCGCTTGAACCTGGAAGACAGAGGTTGCGGTGAGCAGAAATCACGCCACTGCACTCCAACCTAGGCAACAAGAGTGAAACTCCGTCTCAAAAAAAAAAAAGAAAGAAAAAAAAGGGAGAGGCAGAAAGAAACATTGAATTCTTTGAGTCTCACTTTTCTCATTTGCAGTGTCCTAATTATTTCATATGGTTGTTTTCCATACAAAATAATGAAGTGAAGCTATTTAATAAATTTTAAAGTGCTAAACAAATGTCAGAGGTTAATAGCTGTAACTGTGCCATCAACTAGGTGACCTTGGTCAGAGTTCATTAACAAATGTTAAGTGATTTGAAGAAGTAGAAGTCTCCACTCCCAAGAGCTACCAGTCTCATTGAATAATCTAGGGGGCATTTAGTTCTAGTATTATGGATTCCGTGTCTGCCCTTCTTTTTCACCTGAAAAATTCCCCCCAAGAGAGTTATTCCCAGGTCAGAAAACAAAGGGCTCCGCAGTCTCCTGAAAATGCACTTCACCTGAGAAGGCAAGTGGATCTCCTCTAATCTAGTACTTCTCAACTGTTAAGGGACATATGAATCTCCTGGGCATCTTCTAGGGTGGAGCTCAGAGGCTATATTTCCAAAGAATCCCCAGCTGATACTGCACAGACGACATTTTAAGTAGCAAGGCTCTAACCTAGGGGTCCCCAATCTTTTTAGCACCAGGTTTAGTGGAAGACAGTTTTTCCACGGGGAGCGGGGGAGGGAATGGTTTTGGGATGAAACTGTTACACCTGAGATCATCAGCCATTAGTTGGATTCTCATAAAAAGCGAGCAACCTAGGTCCTTCACGTGCGCAGTTCACAACAGGGTTCGCGCGGCTATGCGAATCTAATGCCGCTGATCTGACAGGAGGCGGAGCTCAGCTTGCTCAGCTCACCTCCTGCTGTGCGCTTCCTTTACAGGCCACTAACACTACGGGCGGCGGGACTCCTGCTCTAACCTTTTCCCATAGCCCCATTTAGTTTCCTAAATGAGTTCACCGTCACCTGGGAAGTCACAGAAAGCTTGAAGAGCATAAGGTATACACTAGGGATGGTTTGGGGAACCTGGCTGGGAAAGCTCTCTCTGAGAAGGGGAAGTGGGCAGGTTTGAGGGAAAGAGGGAATAGGTGACTGACAGATTAGTGGAGAGCACTGAAGACCTACGATAGTTTCCGTTTGTACCTTAGTGGTAACACCATCCAAACCCAGATACCCCTAGGAAAAATCACTCCGGCCTGCAACTTGCATCCTTCGATGAAACCTCGATTTTCACCAACAGGTTATAATGATCGGTTTAGGTGCCTGCATTTTACCCTGTAAGGTGAACCGGAGAGAAGGAACAGTGCTGTTCCGCCCGCCGCCCCCCCTCCCTGGCCTGGCACAAGTACCGTCCCCTCCCCCATGCTGCTTATCTAACGTTTGTGGAACGCTTTTCACAATTTGCGGGTTCTAGAAAGGCCCAAGTCCAGGCCTAGCGCGCTCACCCAGTAACTTCACCAGGGGGCGCGGCGGGCCCGGCGACGCAGCGACTGTGACCCTATGGGCTCGGAGCGCTTAGCGGGCGGTCTCCGCCCGCCCCTCCCTACGACCTGGGCGGGAACCGAGACAGCGCGCAGGCCGCTTCTAAAAGGGGCCCCCCACTTTGGGAGTCATCGCCGGAGCCTAGGTGCCTGGAGCTCCGCCCGCCACCCCTTCCCGGGCCCGCTGGAGCCCGGCGTTCCGACCCGGGGCCGGTAACCAGGCGCACATGGCCCGCCCGGCCCTGTTTGTCCTGGCAGCGCGCCGCCACTATTTGAAGCGGTTTTTATCTCCCAGAAACCAGCAAAACCCCAAGCGGAGTCTAGGGAAGATGAAAGGGGCCGAGGGGCTGGGGAGGGGAGGACCGCGAGGCTGCGGCGGGCGAGAGCTGGCACCGGACAGGCGGAGACCGGGAGGCGAGAGGGCCAAACTCTGGGGGGTCCGGAGGAGCCCGTCCGGCGGGGTTGGGGCGGGGTCCCGGGGGTCCACTCCATCCAGGCCGTCGCCTCGCTCAGACCAGCTCCAAGGCGCCCCCCGCCCTTCCTCCGCCCCAGCCCCGTCTCCCGTGTCTCTTCAGTCACAGCCCCCAGCCCACTAAAGAAGTCTTCGGAACTCGGATTTCTTCAAAGCGCCTTTGAAGCAGCGCGCCCCGCCAGAGGGCAGGAGATTTCGCACCTGGGCGGGGGCGGGAGTGGCGTCAGGGGGTGCGGGGGCTCGTAACCCGAGCTCGCCCAGGATCGCCGGCCCCCTCCCACCCGGAGTAGCGCCTCTTGCGACCCGCGCGGTGGACAGTCCGACGCGTGTCGCAGCTGGGAGTCGGGCCCAGGCCGGGGGGAGTGGCCTGTGAGTCCCCTCAGCCCAGCAGGGGAACCCTGGGGGGCGGGGGCCGCACAAAGCCCTATTGTAGCTCGGGGATGGCCGCCACAGAGTGGCTTTTGTTCTTCGGCTAACTCCGTGGCGGGCACAACTGATTGCAGGCCCCGGGCAGGGGGCGGGTTACGTGCCAGGCCCAGTCTGCCCGCCGGGAGCCGCACCACCGCCCGACTGGGGCCGCGCAGTAGTCCGCACTGCAACCGCGGTGCCAGCGCTCGGTCGCGTCACTGCCCTGACCAGGCGCAATTGGTGCAATCCGGAAAGGACCAGGGTAGAAACCAGTGAGTCTTCCCAACTCTGCAGAAAGCACTACACGCCCAAAAACAACACCGCCAGAGGATATGACCGAGAAACAATTTTGTTTTGTGTTTTGAGACGGAGTCGCTCTGCCGCCCACGCTGGAGTGCAGTGGCGCGATCTCAGCTCACTGCAACCTCCGCCTCCCAGGTTCCAGCAATTCTCCTGCCTCAGCCTCCCAAGCAGCTGGGATTACAGGCACCTGCCACCACGCCCGGCTGATTTTTGTGTTTTTAGTAGAGACGGGGTTTCACCATGTTAGCCAGCATGGTCTTGAACTCCTGACCTCAGGTGATCCGCCCTTCTCGGCCTCCCGAAGTGCTGAGATTACAGGCGTGAACCACCGCGCCCGGCAGATAAACTATTTCTATTTCGCCGCGAGCATAATAAGCAAACGTGCACAATAAAATATTCGCCCATGAGTGGTCCCCAATTTGCTAAGGGAAAAAAGCTCATTGGCCCTCGCTTCGCCCTTCCTCTTCTCCTTTTCTCACCAGGACAAAATTTCAAATTCAACTTTTATTTATTAAATTAAAAAAAAAGACTCCACAAAGGGCATGATCTCTTCCATTCCACAATGTTCTCTCCCCAAGCTCCAGCGGCTTTAACCCTTTAACTTGGGG